TGAGATTCATCTCATCATGGACCTCTGCACTCCTGCTGGCAGAACCCACCCTGGGCGCCCACTGTAGTGACCATGCAGCCACCCTAGCTAGGCAAGCACTGCTGGCAGTGGGCACACAGAGCTAATGGTCAGAGCACCTCTGACCTTGGCCAGAGCCCTGGAACTGCCCTCTTCACAAGGAGGAGCAGGAAGTCTTCCCAAGACCGTTTCCCTTTCATGTTCCTCCTTGTTTTGCTAGTGGATAAAATATTTTCAATAAAATTTACACACATGATCAACACAGGCTTCAGTTTTCCTCTTTTGGTCTAATGGAAGGCAAGGGTGTTTAGCAGAACTTGAAGGCAGAGATGCCACAGAAGACCTGGCAGGGAGGAAGGCTTGTTGAAGGGAGAAGGACTCTAGATCCTAGCCAGTTTTCATCCCAGGTGGGCTGGGAGGTCGGGTGGGGTAGAATAGGTTGAACTGACTTGGAAGTTGCTGGGAGTGTTGAAAAAGTTGGACCCCAGCTTCCCTCAGAGGTCCAAGTGACAAAAAGATTTCCCTAGGGACACAGGTCCTTGGAGATTAGAGGGCCAGAGAGCAGAGGCCTGTGTGTGCGCAGGGAGCAAGCACCCTCTGCAGAGCCTGTGCAGGGGACGCTCCTTCAGTGTGCCCCTGCGGCCCGGCTGCAGTTGCTGTTCTCACCGCCTGTCCTTTGCCCTCGGAGACCGCCAAGCCGCTCTCTTCCTTGGCTCCCTTCTTGTCTGTTTTTTTTTTTTTTCTTTTTTCTCTAAATTTTCTCTAGTCACACACCTTCCAAATGCCACATTCAGTTCATTTCTTTATAAGAACATTTAACTCTGGCACATTTAGAAAGTTAATTTCACATGTGGCAGCCGGGTGAATTTTCATGAAGTAAACACACCCATGTACACTTAGATCAGGAAATGACATTAACTAGCCCTTCTCAGTCACTATCCTCCCAAAGGCTGACCAATCCCTGACCTCTAACAACAGAGACTGGTTTTCCTGGATGGGCACATTGTGTGTCCTTGTCCATCCCTCACTGTGAGGTGCGTCCCTGTTGGACAACATCACTGCCTGTTCATTCGAATTCCCATCGAGCATTCCACTTTGTGACTGGGTCACAGGTTCTCAGTTCTGTTTAAAGAAATAATGTCCGTTTTGGAGCCTCTCCAAGCTGGAGCCCTGTGTTGGGCGGAAGGGGCAGACTTCATTGCAAAACCAAGAAGGGCTTTCTCGTCCATGTGGGTACCGTGCTGGGCCTGCCCTCCACACAGGCACTTGCCCAGAGTCAGTCCAGGGTGGAGGGCCACTTTGCAATCCCTTCTCCTCCATTCTCCTCTTGGGATCTTCGTTATGCATTCATATGCGACAGGCATGAGCTGTAAGCTTCCATGTCCAGGACCCAATCTGCAGTGACCTACGTGGGAGTCCAGCAATGTGACCATTCCGCCATCTGCTGGTCCCAACCCCCATTCTTTTTTTTGCTCTTCTTTCATGTTTTTTCTATTTCAGTGATTTTATGTGTGTGTTTCAGTAGTATTATTTATATTAATTTTGTTGCAAAATTATCAAAACTGTCCTCCAGAAATCTTTTCATTTAGCAAAATAGAAATTCCATATTGATTTGCAAAGCATTATCAGTCCTCCCTCCTTCCAACACCTATCAACCGCATCGTATTATCTGTACTGAGGAGTTGACTGCTTTCAGTATAAAATATGAGTGAATAAACAGTGTTTCTTTGTGAATGGCTTATTTTAATTAATGTTTTCAAATTCACCAATGTTGTAGCATACTTAGAATATCATTCTTTCTGTTTTATTTTGTTTTTGCTATAATTCTATGTGCTCATAGGTCAAGTGTAAGCCAACTCCTCCTTTCTGAGGTGTGGGAATTCTAGAGAGTCCCCAAGATGTCCCATGTCACAACAGAGACACTGAAAGAACAATAGGATGAGAAGCTGCTCCTGTCACACAATGGGCACCCTTTTCTGAGACACCAGAACAGAACCCTCTATCGTCAGAAGATTGAGGACTCTTCTTCATTTTCCTTACTGTTCACCTCGGCCACCTGGCAAGACAGTGCAATAGCTATCTATTGTCAATTATTTTTTCTAAGTCTTGTGCAAGTTATTCTTGTCCACTCCACTAGGACTCACTCCTGGGATGTTCAATGATGAAAGGGCGATCTGTTTGCTGCACAGAGTTGTGCACCTGTTAACCTTTATTGTTTGTGTGGGTTGCATTGAGAACATTCATTTTTCACTTTAGCAACTTTCTAGAGAGGAACAAGGCTAAGGGGGATATCTCCAACTTTAACTCCTTTCTTCCTGATTGTCACAGGAGTGGTCTCCCCATACTCACTCAGTTCCTGTAAGCCTAATTTGTCCAAAAACATGTTGCTGTTGTTTGATAATTTATTTTGTTTCCTGCCAGATGGTGCAGTGTACTCAAGGGAGTGAGACAGAGAGAAAATATCAGGATGAGAGACAGAGAGTAGGAGAAAGCACACTTCATGGTGAAGGGTCACATCACAATCCCTTCTCCTGTATTTCCTTATCCTTTGGGGATTTGGGGCGAGCACCATGCCAGACAAGTTCATGACCTGCCATGCATGGGCCTCAAATGAACAGTTGGCAATGTGGGATCTTAACACCTTATCCACCACCACACATGCTGGCCCTCACACTTTACAATGTGTGCACGTGACCATCCACACAATTTACAATGGTTTCTCACTGAGTGAATCAACTGAACACGTGGGAGAAGGCACGATAACCAAGAGGACACTGTAACCCCCTCCCTGAGGTTGTGACCTTAGACCCAGAAGGATGGTAAGTGACAGTGGCACTGAGGTCTCAGTTTAGGTTCCACTGGCACTTCCTGGAGAGCCTGAGACAATGGGGTTTTGTTCCTCTGAAAGCACAGGAAGCCATAGGTTTGCATGAAGCCCCTGCTCTAGGCCCCAGAGAAATAGCCTCAGGGACGCTGCTTCTTCATTAGCTCACACCCTGATTTGGAGAGATGAGGGAAGCCAGTAGATGCCCTCAAATAAACCTAGCGGTTACTCAGAACAGGTGATTCCAGTGTATTGAAGTCAGCATTCTAAGGACGTGGGACTTCAGCACCTCTCTGCGGTTTTTGTAGGAATGTCCACACAAATACTTTACAAAGCTACCCACACTTAATGGAACTTTTGTTTCATGAACATCCTTTTGGCCCAAACTCAGTCCTTATTTCCCTTCTAGACTGTCCGCATCATTTATAAGGTAACTTCAGGGGGTTACGAGGACAACAGCTGCCCTCAATTTATCATATAAATTCAGAGACAACTGTTGTACTAGACTCCTAGCTACATCCCACTCCCACCCCAAGTCTTTCTTCCTTCTACCCATTAATATCCCCCTGATATCTGGAGGAATACCCTGCCACACATTTAATTTGGGACAATGGAGTCTGTGAGAGTTCCAGGACATCTTCCCACTCCTGCCCACAGGAAAGGCCCCTCCACTACATTGATATTAGAGCATGTCCGAACTAACTGGAGAGAGAGGAGAGAGAGACAGAGACAGGGGACAGTTTCCAGAGTCTGGTCAAGATGGGACCTGCTTCCTTCAGGTTTCTAAGTCCTTAATGGTGGCTATTACTGTGGACCTGGTCTCTGTCAGGTCCCTATGGCTGGGGATCTGAACCTCGGTCACTGAGTGGCTTCACTCACTGTGGCTTAGCCCCACCCCCACTGTGGCTGCTCCCCAGTGAGACCCCTGGTATTAGTGGCTTTGCATCAGCCATTCCTATGGGTGGACGTGTCTGACCAAGGCAGCAGGATTCAGAGACCACCCTAATCAGCCACCGAACCCCCTCTCCACACCTCTTCCCACAAACATGGGTGAGGTTTTCTCCAACTATTGATTGTAGCCAGGTAAAACAATGAGGCCCCTGTAAGCTGGCTGAGACAGGCGGGCTTTGGGCTGTTGACTCTCTTCTGCCCTGGACAAATGAAGACACCCTACCATTTGAGACATTTGCTTGCTAAACCAGAATGTCAATCCAGAGAAGACAGGGAAGGATGGTCTCTTGGGAATCTTATCACAAAACCAGGAAGACAGGTGACAGTGTTAAACCATCTGTCATCACTCCCCTCTCAAAGGACTGAATTTTTCTAGGCAGATGCACACAGGGGGGTTTCAATTTCCCTCTGGGTGAAGGAACGGGTAGATTAAAGCCACAGGCCTGGTCTTGTCATTTCTTGTCAGAATGGACTCAGTGGCATGGGAGAATTTCAAACGATCTTGATCCCCTGGCTCTCTGCTCGTGCTCCATGAGTGTGTTGGCTCTCGCAAGTAGAACACACTTTGGTTGTACGTTATTTCGTTATTGTGCATTGTGGTCCACGCGTACAAGGTCCATCTTTCGGGAGTGCAATTTGGTCTTTCAAAGCAGAAATCTGGGTTGTAAAAGCACATCAGGGTATAGATTTCCTCATGTTATTAAATATCGTATGACACTGTGCACCTTTACAAAAGATTCTACTGGCATTGTGGGACTTTTCATTAGTTCGTATGTGAGTTTGAACAGACCCCATCACTGTGGCCACTCTGCATTTACGGGATCCCTCCAGCTCACGTTTGCTCTCCTCTGCTGTGCGGTCCCCTCTGTTTGCATCTATCTCCCCTCCCAGCTGCTCTCCCCTCCACCACGCATGGCCCTCCTTTACAGGTGTCCTTGGGATGGCTTGAAAGTTGAGAACACTGTTCTTTGACACAATCACCAGTAAAATAAAATCCTCCCAAATGAGGAGGGGCAAATTTCAGGAATTAACAATGTATCGTGAAGAAGCAAACAAGCCAACAAAGTTGCTTGAGTGTGTAAATTTTATTGTACTATGTAAGAGAAAGGAACTCAGTGTTGGGCCCTCAGCCTCGGGCATCCTCCCACTGCCTCAGTGCAGAGAACTGAGCACAAGATCTGGGTGCCACCAGGATTTGCGAGTCTAGTTAAAGTTGGACATTTTCGGCAAGAGCGGCAGCTTTGTAGGCATCGAGTTGGGCGTCCAGCTCCTCTGCAGAAAGCTGCTGCTTGGAAGGGTGGACTGGGACTTGCTGTCCTCTCCTGCTGCCTAGCCAGGAGCTGCAGCCACGAGCTGAACCTCCTGCGTGGTGCTTCCCGTCTAGGCTGCCTCCGTTCCCACTGGAGATGGGTCTCTTCAGCGTATCCCCGGGCGAGGTGACCAGCTGGATTATCAAGGGTCGGCCATCCAAAGGGACACCGTTGTACTCTCTCAGTGCCTTCAGGGCGTCGGCTTTCTGCTGGAAGTGCACGGTGGCTGTGCCCAAGCTGTGGCCAGAGCCATCGTAGTGCACCGCCGCCTGCTTCTGCAGCGCTCCGAATTCGCCAAAGAGCATCTGGATATCCCTGTCGGACACACTGGGGTGCAGGTTGGACAGCAGCAGCAGCTGCCCTCTGGACTGGGCGCCTGCACCGTCTCCGAAGCCGCGGTCTGCCACGAGGTGCTGACGCTGGTCTCGGAGTCGCCTGGACCTGCTGTAAGGTGCTGGCCTTGGGTGCATGTGACCTGTGCCTCCTCGCTTCTCAGGGAAGGCGGCCCTTGGCTCCTTGCTGCGACCAGGGTGCCGCTGGCTGCGGAGCTTGATGATGTCCTCCAGAGACAGATCCACACGTTGCTGGCCATGGCGGGCTCGGAGTCGGGTCTCAGTTCCCCTTCTGCTTGGGGATCCTGCGGGAAGAGAAGGGAGGAAGGACCAGTGAGTCAAAACCCGCACAAAGTAACACTGCACGGAGAGAAGCCAGAACGTCTGCGTGCTTCCCCTAGGTTCCGTTTCCACCAGCTTCGGCAGCAGGCACGCGGCTGGAGGAATTGAGATGGACAGAGGACTGACGTCCCATGCTCTCCTAGCTGCTGGGGCCTGGCAAACCTGACTTCTACCACTTCATTCCTTCCCTGTGCCTTGGAGATGGGGATTACCAGACAGTTATCCGTAGACCTGCAGACCGTCCCCCTCATACCTCCTCGAAAATTCAGAATCATTCACCAGAGGGTGTGCTTAGTGCCCTGGTGCCTTTACTCAGGGAAAGACCTAACAAGGGGTCCATGTGAAAAATGACAAGTTGAATGACTCAGCATGCAGGTGGCAGGAATGTCCAGAGGCAGAGGAAAATGGGGGGCTGGGACCCTTTTGGCAGAGCCCAGGGGAGCAGAGCAGCAATGAGGAGAGCAGGGTGTGTGTTCCCAGGGATGTGTCTGCTCTCCTCTCCTCTCCTAATGACCCTACCAGAACTCAATCACAGCAGGCCTGCCTCAGGGCACGGGCCCACTCAGATGCCCTCCCCCCCCACACACCCTACAGGAAGGAAGTTCTCACTAGGTGCTTTTACTATCAACAACCTGCCCCTCCTCCTCTTCAGCAATCCCTGGAGTGGTTGCAATGGAGCCATCTTCCTGGGTTTTAACTTTCTCAGTTTTTCTCCCTTTCTCTTTCTATTTCCTGTTTTTCCCTGACCAGTGCACACATGCTATAGCAAAAAAGAAAAAGAATAACACAAAAAGATAGAGATCCTGCATAAAACACGGTTTAAAGTGAGACTTATCTCAAGCCATTTGCTTTTAATCATGAAAATTATAGTGATTTTGAAATACCCCTTGATGCAAGAAATCTAGACAAAAAGAGAAAAAAAAAAAATACAATTCCAAACAGGCATGGGAATCTGCTTTTCTGACCCAACCTAACTACTCCTTCACTCATTTCCCTGCTTAATGTCTATGCTTGAGGATGAGGTTCTCAATCCAGCTCCAGCAGAACTAGCTGTGTAGTCTTGGACCATCCACCCTCACTGAATCTCATCTCTAAAGCCAGGCAGTGTTTCTCAGATCCAGGAAGAGAACTGGACATAGTGATGCAATTTGTCCAGGCTTTCCTGACACAGAGAGAGACTTTCTATTGAGAATGGGAACAGCCTCTAACAGGGCCCTTCCGCCCACTCCACACCCTTCCACTGCCTGATGCAATCAAAAGCCAAGCAGTTCCTACTGTGTCTTCCACAGTGATACAATTTCCACCTTAACCCCATCAGCCTCTGAACTAATTAGCAAGGCAAATGAGTGTCAGTTCCCACATAACTGGATCTGGTCTCTGCAGTCCAGTAGGACACACAACACTATAAAAAGGCACCGTCAGCAGAGGACCGAATCATTCGCTCTTCCTAGTCCAGATACATGGCTTGGCCTGGTTGGGAGACTGACACGATGGAGCTCCATGCAGCAGCCTTGGCAGAGCCATCCTGGGGGTGGGCACGCCCAGAGCCCCACATGCCAGAGGGCCTAAACCGAGAGCAGGCCTGGGCCTGGGCGCTGGATAACTTCCCCGCACTCAGCCGCAATTCCTGCCAGTGCCCCCAGTGCTGTGGGGATGTGAACCCCGGAGCACAGGGCTTCCTGAGCTGGCATTACACCGGGCTGGGAGCCGGTTCCTGCGTGGAAAGAGGACAAAAACGCTGTCGAGACACACCTGCCCAGGACCCAGTGGTTGACACCGCAAAGGAGCTGCAGTCACCCCGTGCAGACGCACCTGCTACCACCGAGGGTGCCCGAAAGGGCCTGAACCAGCCTGGAGATTCCTGCGCTTCTGGAGGACAGACACAGAGCCAGCTCGCCCCCTGGAGTCCAGGCCGCCCCCGGAAGCTGCTGAAAACCAAGCCTTGAAACCTGGAGGAACCCGGAAAGGAAAGGCACCCATCCATCTCTGCTGCAGGCCCACAGCTCCGCAACCCTCAGCTGATGCCCTGAAAGGAGTACGAGACACCTGCTGGGTCACACACCATCCCTGTGGACTCTGCACTGCCCACCTAGGCACTCTGGAGATGTTTTCTTACTGTGTTCTTTCTCTCCTGAACGAATTAAATATTTTCCGCTGAGAAAAGCTCTCTTTGTGTCAATAATATGCTCAGCCACCCAGGACCCAGTGGTTGACACCGCAAAGGAGCTGCAGTCACCCCGTGCAGACGCACCTGCTACCACCGAGGGTGCCCGAAAGGGCCTGAACCAGCCTGGAGATTCCTGCGCTTCTGGAGGACAGACACAGAGCCAGCTCGCCCCCTGGAGTCCAGGCCGCCCCCGGAAGCTGCTGAAAACCAAGCCTTGAAACCTGGAGGAACCCGGAAAGGAAAGGCACCCATCCATCTCTGCTGCAGGCCCACAGCTCCGCAACCCTCAGCTGATGCCCTGAAAGGAGTACGAGACACCTGCTGGGTCACACACCATCCCTGTGGACTCTGCACTGCCCACCTAGGCACTCTGGAGATGTTTTCTTACTGTGTTCTTTCTCTCCTGAACGAATTAAATATTTTCCGCTGAGAAAAGCTCTCTTTGTGTCAATAATATGCTCAGCCACTTTTCGATCTCCCTAGAATCATTACGGTTCTCATATGACCAAAGTTGTCTGTTTCTCTTCCTTTCCACCTGTGGAACTGGTATTGATTGGATGAGTCCTAATGGGCAGCTGTATTGGTGGCCCTGAGGCAGGAAGGGAACAGGGACCCAGATCAGCTGCAGGCTGAACTCCAGGGGTCTTTGAGGAGCTGGGGACACCGATAAGGTGGGAAGGGAGAGCTGGGTGGACCAGTTACTGAGCTTCTTTGGAAAATGAGTGGCCCTTCAGACAGGGCAGGAAGCAGGTATCAATAGGTGTTCTTTTAATGATCTAAAGATGGGACCAGTTGATGGCATAATGGTTATATCACTAGACTCCCATATGGATGACCACGGTTTGAGTCCCAGACCTGGCAGCTTAAAACTCAGGCTAGACATGAGATTGTGTTTGCCCAAAATCCTGTGAGGAAAATGGAGGAGAAGGGATTGTGGTATGGCCATCCCCCCTGGGATGGGGTGATTTCTCACTTTCTGTCTCTGTCTCCCTGGTGAGTACACATGCCCTATAGCAAAAATATCTTAAAAAAAAAAAAGTAAATGATCTAAATGTGACATGAACAAGGGTCAGAAGGTGAAAGGAGGCCAGAGGAAAATCCCCAGGCTTGTACCCTCTGAGTTGACAGCTACAAAGTACATGTCAGACAATTCCAGGCTGCTCAAAATCCTGGTAACCCCGCCCGGTGCAAGGGTCTGTGGATTATAATTTGAGATGACAATAGAAGTGAGGGTTTATGGGTGGGGTCCCTTGGCAAGTGGCAGTGTGTTGAAGCTGTGATAACAAAATATCATAGGCCGTGCGTGTGTGAAACCACAGACATTTCTTTCTCCAAGTTGTGTAGGTGGGGAGGTCCAAGAACACAGTGCCCGTTGATTCAGCTCATGGCAAGGGAGCTCTTCCTGTCTTGCAAATGGCCGTCTTCTGTGTCCTGACATGGCACAGAAGGAGATGTTTTCTTCTTCTGGTGTTTCTTCTTCCAAGGACACTAACTCTTGCCCTGATTTCTAAGTCTGAACTTTGAGACTTTCCATGCTTTTCCTGACTCAAAGCCTAGAGCCGAAGCTAGCTTGGCAGTCCCAAGGCCTTGACTTTCTATTAGAATTCCTATTTCTGCCCTTCTTTGACATATTGGCTTAATTCCAGTGTTTTTGATAAAGGTCAGGTCTGGCTAACAGGAAAAAACAGGAGAGTTCTCTCCTTCTTTCTCTTCAACGAAAGTCTGTATTGTGTAAACAAGTTCTCCTGTGCGTTTTTGGTGGCACGTTATCCATTTCTTATGACTTCATTATCATTGCAAATGTTTAAACTCACTGCTTATGTAGAGTAATTGTTTATTTGACCTCTCAGCAGCGTTTGACCCAGTGGTTTACTTTTTTTCCTTGATAGAGTTCTACTTGGTTGAAAATAAGCATACCAGATTTTTGTTGTTGTTGTTTTGTTTCCTGAACTTTCTCATGGCTTTTAAATTCAATCTTCTCTGCAAGTTCCTCCAGCTACCTGGCAATAGATTGAAATATATCAAATATATGAAAATCCATTCTACAAAAGAACCCATGTGTGTTACTGGAAGCTTTTAGCACACCACACAATAATTAGAAGACTGGTAAGTAAAAGAAAATAATTAAACACTTATCCTAATGTTTTGCATGGGCTTTATTTCAGGACAGATCATTGATAAGGCGATGTTTCTCCTTTTATAAGAAGTCTAACTAATGAGGCAGGAGGTCAGACGGTGGCTCACGAGTAACATGTGGGATCTGCGTTCTGCATGCAGACCCATGGGAAGGTTGCCCTTTCTCCCAGTTGGGGGTGCTGCATTTCTTTATCTCTATCTCTTACTCAAGAATTTCTTTTTTGGAATTAATTTAATTTTATTATTATTACTTTTTAAAAGTTTGCTACAGGGCACATGCACTCACTAGAAAGAGGCAGAGAGAGAGTAAGAGGGAGAAAGAGAGAGGAAACAAACTGCCTGGTCTAAGACTTGAACTACGGTCAAGCCATGCGGGAGTTCAACACCTTAACCACCACGTCAGCTGCAGGCTCCTTTACTCCTGGACTTTTAAAAAATACTTAAAAAGAAAATAGCCAAGAGGGACCAGCAGATGGCATAGTGGTTATGTCATTGTACTCCCATGTAGTTGACCGCAATTTGAGTCCTGGACCTGGCAGCTTAAAATTCGTGCTGAGCATGAGTTTAAAATCCCGAGAGAATGGAGAAGGGATTGCGGCATGGCCATTCCCCCTGGGGGATGATTTCTCACTTTCTGTCACTCTTTCTCTCACTGTCTCTCCAGTGAGCACACGTGCTCTATAGCAAACATCTCTCTAACAAAAAAATAAGGAAGAAATTTAAAAAATCCTATTATTATCACTTTGTAATTGCTAGTGAAGTAATGGATCTTGATAAGGTAAGCCACTAGGTAAATGTCTTGGGGGGGCTTTGTAATATATGCATTGAGCCAGCAACACCCGACACCACCCATTCATTTTAACTTCACCAAGTGGGTGAAAAGTCTGCAAAGTCTTCTTCCTACCATGCGAGTTTGAGGGCTGGAGGCTGAATTATCAGTGGAAAATCTTCATTTCTCCTAGTCTCCTGAAATCACTAGTTCCCAGGGGTCTCCTCAATCTAAACAGCATTTTTGCCAAAACAAAACAAAAGCTCAAACTTGAGTTTGACCTAGCTTTATAGATAACTATGAACTGAGAGAATTACATCCCGGATATGTGATTATTAAAATCTAGATGTATTTTACAAAAAAATAAAAATAAAATAAGGAACAGCAGTTTGCTAACAAATAAATGCTAAATGTGGAGAGATGACTATTACACATTTTTTTTAAAATAAAGAGATAGTCCTAAAAGACATAAGCATTTGTGGTCCAGCAGTAGACGTAATGGCTATGTCGTTGGACTCTCATGTAGTCGACCGCAGTTCGAGTCCTGGACCCAGAAGCTTAAACTCATGCCGGGCATGTGTGTGTGCGTGCCCAAGATTCCTAGAGGAGAATGGAGGAGAAGGGATTGCGGCATGGCTATCCCCCCTGGGGGGGTGATTTCTCACTTTCTGTCTCTCTGTCTCTCTCTTCCT